CAAATCTAAATTTGTTAGGCGTTTACTTTTCCTCAAGTAAAACAGGTGGCCACAGGTATGCATTGAGGGGAAAACAACTGGAGATCGACTGTTACTGGCTTTCAAAATTCATTAAAATATATTTTTTATGTTGTAATCGAGATAGATATTGTCTTTGCGCATGAGCACAAGCTAGAGCAAACTGGAGATAACACCTTTTAAACGTAATTATAACTTAAGCAACAAAATGAACATTTTAGATTGTGTTGTTGTTTAAAATATATAATTTAACAGCGAGTATAGCAAGCACATTTTGAGATTTCGGTATTCCCCCATTCGTTTAGATACTGTAGGTCTTGGTCTTGGATTAAGCGGCCAGAAGTGTTGCATATAAGTCTACAGAGTGAAAAAACAAAGTGCTTGAACTTTTGGAGAAACATGCAAAACTTGCCGCATGAGCTTATGTTTCCAGTCTGGCATGTTCGCATACACATGAATGGAAATCAACTGGGAGAACAATACTTAAGCTAGCCAGGAATGACTAGAACAAAAAAGAAAAACAGCACATGTCCTGTGATATACTGATGAGTGTATGAGCTGTTTACACCTCTTCACTTCATGTGTTTTTTTTTTCTGATCTGATGTGATGAATGTAAGTAAATGCCATTCTAAATGCATTCTAGAGTAATATAAAACCCTTCAGGAGGTGGTCTGGGATGCATTCCATACAAAAGTGGACAAGTCTAAATGCATCTGGTTGTTGAAACCACACATGTAAATGTGTTGTGGACTATATGACTGTCAGATATACAAGCGCAAATGCATAAGCAACGAATGGCCATAGATTACGATTCCAGATGTTTGTTTTGTCAATTTGTTTTCTTTTAGTTTTATTTTTGACCATGAAATGATTCAATTAAATTGTTAATGATCTGTAAAATAAAAATAGATGTTTTAATTAGCATATAATGAAAGTAAACACATAGCTTTGAGCTTGTTTTACAGCCTTCATATAAAGCCATATGTATATCAAATAAGATAAATAGCTTACATTTCTGTAAATAATACTATTAAATAAAATAAATGCTGTATATCTGACACTTTTTACTTGATGTAACCTTGTTAAGATTGCATATAGCGCTGGATTTGAAGATCTGAATCATGTCTGTTTAGAATAGGGGCATTCGTGCAGCCAAATGTAAATGACCGTTTTTACAAACCAAATAGCCCTCAGAGAAAACAAATGACCAGGTGTAAACATGCCCTATCATTCTCTTTGATTCGATAATTTAACACCGCTTTCACTGTGAAACATTAAGCTTCTGATCCTCCCAACTATTAGCTCTAAGAAAACTGAGGTAGCTTTTAAAGTGTCCGTCTCCCGCCTCGGCCATATTTTACATCGTGCGCACAGTCCAATTACAAACTATCTGAAACAGGCTGTCCTAAATCTGTCATTTATCAGCTTACACACCATCATAACACACTCTCTCTCCTCACAACAGCAGCAGGGAATCGGGAAGGAGGAAGATGGAGATGAATGATGGACTGATGTTGGGGTTTGGAGCGTTCAGATGTCACTTTTCAACCGTTTTAAAAAGGACAAGACAGTAGACGTTTGGGTGGCGAAGCTTCCAAGCCATCTTGACTGACAGGCCTGTCTGTCTGTCCGTGTACCGGCGCATTATACGCGTCTGCGCTCGTGACGTTCCTGTTTTAATTGAAAGAATTGAAGTTTGAGTGTGCTTTAGTTCCACAGAGTTTGTGTTTGAGGCTTTGACATTAATCTCCTGTGATGGAGCGTGGTCTGATGCAGAGAGGCAGGCCCCGAGAGAGGACTCTGATGAATAAAATAACTAACGCTGTGTTATCACGCAAATTATGGCCTCGGGAAGATGCTTGGTGAAGTTCCTACTCTCTGAACACCCGTATCCATGGTACAAAATTACCTTTTAGCGGTGGATTGAGAGGATTATACAGACCAGGAGGACTTCTGGCTGCCCATGAAATGCGAGTTTGTAGTATTTTTATATATACACACCGAATAATTTTTAAATTGATTTTGTTAGTAATAAAAGCTTTAAAATATATACATGCCATTGTAAAAATATTAAATACTAAATTATGCAAAACTATACTGTTGTATACTATACTGTGTAACTGACAATGAACATAAAAATAATAAACAACAAATAATAACTCATAAATAAAGTAATAATAATAATAATACTGACTTCTAATTGATCATTTGGTATCAGAAGTGGCTTATATGAAAGGCAAATGCCTCTAGATTATGCTTATTTTACCTAAATAAAATATGATCATGCCTTGATTTTAAATATTTAATTAGGACAGTAAGGTTTGACTTTGCTTACAGAAATAATGTACAGTATAGAATATAAAGTCATGGTGCAGTGGAAAAAATTAATATTGTGTTTGACTCCCATCAGCTTGGAGGACTGCATCCATACATCTCTGCAATGACTCAAATCACTTATTATTAAGAGAGTTATTAATAAGTCATCGGGAATGGCAAAGAAAGTGTTCTTGCAGGACTCCCAGAGTCCATCATGATTATTTGGATTCTTTTTCAGCGCCTCCTCCATCTTACCCTAGACATGCTCAATAATATACATGTTAGGTGACTGGGCTGGCCAATCCTGGAGCACATTGACCTTCTTAGCTTTCAGGAACTTTGATGTGGAGGCTGAAGTATGAGAAGGAGCGCTATCCTGCTGAAGAATTTGCCCTCTCCTGTGTTTTGTAATGTAATGGGCAGCACAAATGTCCTGATACCTCAGGCTGTTGATATTGCCAGACCTTTCGTACGCCCCATACTGAATGTAACCCCAAACCATGTTTTTCTCTTCATCAAACTTGACTGATTTCTATGAGAATCTTGGGTCCATGCGGGTTACAGTGGGTCTTCTGCAGTATTTGTGATGATCGGGATGCAGTTCAACAGATGATTCATCTGAAATATCTATCTTCTGCCACTTTTACAAATGATCAACTAGAAGTCAAGTTATTATTTGTTGCTCTTAAAACTGGGATCGATGACAAGACTTTTGTCTGTAAGACAAGACTTTTTGTACTGTGTGTCTATATATATATATATATATATATATATATATATATATATATATATATATATATATATATATTATAGCTGGGCATAGGTTATTTTTAAAATTTATTCTAGTTTAAAATGGCTCATTTGAATTCTGCCAAAGGCATTCAGAATATGTGTACTACCCAAATAATAATTCTAATAAATGGTGATGAAAATAAATGATGTTCAATAAGATGTACTTGTGTTTGCTAACTGTTTATTTAGTTAAACATGAATTTTGCACTGTAGGCCTACATAAGCTCAAAACAGCGAATTTTTATTTATTTATTTTTTTATCACCTTAATCTGACAAAAGTCATAACTGAACAAAACAGAAATGGAATTAAGACGTGTAATATGCTTATATTAGTGGCAATATTGAAGTAAACACCGCAGTCAGTAAACACCATCATGTAGGACTTTTCGCCATATTTTCTGACAAGATCCACACGTGGCTGTCAGTAAAGGGCTGCACAAACACACACACTTCTTGAAATGCCGACAATTTTTTCTTTCTATTTGGCGTGCGTTATTAAATTCCATAACACTCGCATCAGTCCTTACTTCTGTAGACTATCGAAAAAACAAATTTGCTTAAAGGGGCTAATATTTTTGTCCCAAAACTGTTTTTTAAAAAATTTAAAACTGCTTTTATTCTGGCCAAAATAAAAAAATAAGACTTTCTCCAGAAGAAAAAAATATTATCAGACATTCTGTGAAAATTTCTTTGCTCTGTTAAACATCATTTGGGAAATATTAAAAAAAGAAAAACAAATCAAAAGGGGGCTAATTCTGACTTCAACTGTCTATATATATATATATATATATACACAGATGTTTTTTAAACATCTGCCTTTGTAATATATTGCAATAGTCTCTTAGTTTTATGTTACTAATATGATTGACATGAGCAATGACAGCTGATTTTTTAAATGTTCAAATGTAATATATTTATGATGACTAAATTAATATTATATATATAAAATATATTAATATTTATTATTTATGAGTCTTATGAATAATGAAACTTTACAGTACAATTATACAGCAGTGTCAGGCTTATAAATTGCACAGCATGCGGGATGATGCTACATTATTGTGGAGTTAAAAAAAGAACGGTCAAACAGTGAGTCATCACTTTCTGATGGTTTGACAGTTTATCTAGACATCTCTATTCTCAAGCAGCAGATGTTTAGGAAATTTGTTTACGTTTCATTTTTTTTTACGCTAGATACCATCTAAGAACTCCTCAGATTCATTTCTTGGAGTTTATAATGATGAAGCCCTTGTGATAGCGATGAAAGCTGCACTCAATTTCCACGTGTCTGTGTTCCTGATAAAATGTTAATTTCCTTCCTAAAGCTTTTGCCTTCATTATCAAACCATTTGTCATTGCCGTTTCTCATTGACTTGATGTCTCATTCTCTGGATGTTTCACTCCCTCACACTGCCTATTTTTATCTTCTTATCTTTTCATTCACCTTCTCACTGTTCTCTCTACTGTATCTTTTCCCACTTCTTCCCCCCTTTCATCTGCGCGCTCACACCAACCCATCCCTTATTATGACCAGCCTGCCTCTATTAGACCTTAAAACCCCTTTGTAATAAGAATTCAGTTGTCAGAGCCAGATTACGAGCGAGTGGAGCTCTCATCCAGGTCACCATCTCAGACTTGAGCGATCAAACAGAAGCTCTTCGCTGTAGACAGATGGGTGAAAGCACACAGGGGAAAGCACCTCAGACCTGAGATCAGATTAGCGTGTCAGGATAAGGAACCGGCTCCCTTTTTTCCAGAGGCTAAATCGCTCACTCGTCGATCCCCCAGAGGTTGTAGGCGTTCTCCATAAATGCTTGACGACACGAGTAAGCAAATGTTGCTGTTTGTGTAGGAGGGACGATATCGAAATACTGATGTGCGGTTTAGTCTTATTCTCCCTCTCAAGCACGTGCTGTTGCCAATAGTATTTCGACACACTGTAGATGGCACTCCAGAGCCTCTGAGGCGGTCTACGGGATGCCCCCCAGAGTCCCGGCATGGTGCTACCAGCCAAATCTGCCATGCTTATAGGGATTGTGCTGGGTATAAATGCCACATCGAGAAAGGTGTTTACACAGATACTTTAATTCTAACCTAAAAGCTTTTACACAGAAGTCACAATCATAGACTGTGATGCTTGGTTAATGAATTATTTTGTAGTGTGTTGGGCTTGCTGAAGTGTTGTGAGTGTTTGTTGCATTGTTTGAGGTTCTAGGGTGTTATGGATGCAGCTGTGCTCTCTGTGTTCGTTGCATTATGTTCTGGGGTGCGTTTCCCAAACAACAACGTAACTCTCGGCTGAACTGTCATAGTACGATGCATCATTTTGAAAAAGAATGATGTAGTGACGAGTGTTTCCCAAAGCCTGTAGTTTCTCTGTCGTAGATTCCTCATTTGAACCACGTTGGATATAACGTAAAACACCCATAATGATGCTCTAAAAGGGGTGGTAACAACTTTTTTAGAGAAGAACCCCATAATTTATTTGTGCAAATTAAATTGTTTTACACGCACATGCATAAAAAAAATCCAATATTAGTTTTTGTAAAAACATGCACTCACTTTTCATATAAAATGACATATGTGTAAAGGGCTCATATAGGACCTGTGTTTCAAATATTATTGACAAAATGAATATTCTATTATTAAACATAAAATCACTTACAAAAGCTACCACCTATTCTAATCTCATATAAATATATAAATCATATAAATAAATTAATAAATAAATAATGAGGCTATTTATTATGACATGAAATTTAATATTTATTAAAAAAATAAAAAAATGATACTTTAATAATAATATTAATAATATTAATCATGATGATGATTATCATTATTATTGTTAATGTTATTAAAAATACAGGAAATATCATCGCTCATTCCTTTGGAGTGTTTTTTTTTTATTTTGGATTTTTACACGTGCTATATTGTTGCTGTGTGGTTGCTAGAGAGTTTTCATATGTTTTTGTAAGTACTATGGTAAGATCAAGCATTTCCTAAGGTGGTCTGAGGATTTAGGTTGTTGTTTAGAACTCCTGAATGATTCCTAAATTGCTCTATATATTTATTTTTAAGCAGGGTAGATGCTAGTTATGCTAGTAGGCTGACAATTCTGGTATCTTCTCTTTCCTTGTCTGTCTGACTTTTTTCAATTTATCATCCACCAGGTGAAAATGATAGGCCTTGTCTCTTAGAAAAGAATAACAGCACATGTCTCCTCAACAAGCCATACAATTTACGGCATCATTCACGCCTTTAGCACAACATGCTAACAGCTAGTGGTTTTTCCAGGAGTGTTCTCCATCCCCCTCTAAAAGTCGTTCCAGCTTTCCTTTTTAAAGTGTCTAGATGTAGAACATGTGGTCATCCATCAGTGCTTCAAGGGGACCTTCAGATATCAGATAATAAAGCTCAGAGCTTTAGAAGGAGGAGAAAGATTTATAGCACACTCTATGAGAGTGCGACAGAGTGCTGTAGGTGTCAGCAGGTAAAGGATGTGTATTGAATCTGTAGAAAAAAGTACTGTGATGTCACCGTGCTACTATGATGTTTACTGTGATGTACAGTTGAAGTCAGAGTTATTAGCTCCCATGTTTACCCCCCCCCCCTAATTTCTGTTTAACTGAGAGATTTTTTTCATCACATTTCTAAACATAATAGTTTTAATAAGCCATTTCTTATAACTGATTTATTTTATCTTTGCTATGATGACAGTAAATAATATTTGACTAGATATTTTTCAAGACACTTCTATACAGCTTAATGTGACATTTAAAGGCTTAACTAGTTAACTAGGCAGGTTAGGTTTAATGGGTAAAATAAAACAAATAAGACTTTCTCCAGAAGGGCTTATAATTCTGACTTCAACTGTGTATGATAGAGCCATATTACTGACCACAGTATTTACATGATGTATATAGGAAAACACTGCATTAATCATTTTCTTAGGGTTCTTGTTTTGTTTTAGTTGACTCAAAATGAAAATCCACTTATTAACTACTTAGCTTTAAGTAGTTATAAACCTTTGAGTTCATTTTTTAAAAGATACTTTGAAGAAAGCTGAAAATCTGTAACCACTGACTGAAAAATAATTAGGCTACTATGACAGTCAATAGCTATGTTTCCATCGACCTATTTTTATGCAAAAAAAAAAAAAAAAAAGGATGTGCATAACTGAGTTGGATAAACTTTTGGTCCCACTTTATATTAAGTGTCCTTAACTATTATGTACTTACATCAAAAAATAAATAAATACAATGTACTTACTGTGTTTATAATGTATTTGAGAACACTTGTGGTGCTTTTGAGTTGGGATAGAGGTTGGGTTATGGACAGGTTTGGTGGTATGGGTAGGTGTAAGGGATGGTCAACAGTGTATTTACAAATGTAATTACAAAAGTTAGTTGCAGATGTAACTACAGTATATACATGTATTTAACCAAGCCTACACTGTAAAAAATTTTAAGCCAGTTCAACAAAAAAAATCTTAGTACTAATTTCCTTCTGTTTTTTCTTGTTTACTCAACTTTTGAAAACATCAGCTACACTGACTGAAAATAATTTGTCAGTGAAACAAAAAATGTCTAGTTGAGTCAACTTAACATTAGTAGTTTTCTGGAAACCTGCACCTGCAGCACAACAAATATTTTTAAGTTGTGCAAACTGAACATTTCTTGTCTGCAGGACTGAAATGACAGAAGTTGAGTGAACAAGAAAATACAAAAGGAAATTAGTACTAAGAAATTATATGTTACCAGAGCAAAAGTTGTGTTAACTGAACATTTCTTGTCTGGATGGCCTGAAATGACAGAAGTTAAGTGAACAAGAAAATACAAAAGGAAATTAGTACTAAGAAATTATGTTACCAGAGCAAAAGTTGTGTTAACTGAACATTTCTTGTCTGGATGGCCAAAAATGACAGAAGTTGAGAGAACAAGAAAATACAAAAGGAAATTAGTACTAAGAAATTATATGTTATCTGAGCAAACACACATGGCAAAAAAGACATACATGGTAGTGTATCTGTAAAAAAAAAAAAAAAAAAACACACAAACACTAAGTCAAATTAATCACATGAGAAGGAAACACAATTATATTAAATATATAACAATTACAGCACATCTCTGAGACTACCTTACACTATCAATTTTAATAACCTTAGAATATCCCATAAATTATTCACAACACCCTGCTGAAAAAACAGCGTATGCTGGTAAGGTATGTTTTGATGCTGGTCTCAATGCTGGTTTTGCTGGTTTCAGTGCTGGTCTCAATGCTGGTTTTGCTGGTCTAAGTGCTGCTCCTGACCAGCATTGAGACCAGCAAGACCAACATTGAAACCAGCATTAGGACCAGCAAAACTAGCATTGAGACCAGCAGGACCAGCAAAACCAGCATTAAAACAAGCAAGACCAGCATACCAGCATCAAAACATACCTTCCCAGCATATGCTGTTTTTTTTTTTAGCAGGGCAATCAATCTGAATTACTAGTTGCCTTGAGATATAAATCTTAGTATTTGTTGTAATTCATTTCAAAATCTATACTTGCATAATTACATGTTTTGTGCTGGTACCTTGGCTGGTCATGGATAAATATGATATTAAAACTGCCAGTAAAGGATATTACTTTAGTAATAAGTGTTCCACTGTATACACCTTCAGTTCAAAATGAACGATTTATTACTATTATTCTGGTTTTGATTTGATTTTGTTTGCTTAATATACTAATAAGCAGTTGGAATATACGCGCTGTCACTTTAAGAGCCACCCTAGATAGTAAAATACACTTGGGCCAGTTCCAGCTAGATTCGCTGCCTCATCCGAGCCAGAATCGGCCCGCGAGTAATGTGCGCTGCAGCCCGGAGCTGGCGCAACTCAATATACCTTGATATAAAACCTTTTGGTATTATATTGGTACTTGATACATGGTATTACAACCATTTGCATTTATATACCAGCAAACGCAGGCTATAATGTAAAGGCAAAGTGTAGGCAATGCGTTCAACCTTTGAATAAAATGCAAACAGCATACATATCCAATAACAAAAATTATTAAACAAAGGACAAAATAAATAATAATAATAAACATTAATTGATTGCAATAAACAAATAATACTAAACTTGAATAAAATATTTTGTAGTGCACAAGAACGTCAATATAAAAATAATAATAAAACTACACAATAAAGACACACAGGAGGATTTAAAGACAAAATCTGAAATTGCACACATACACAGAAGTTTTTAAAACAACCCTGTTTTCCCAATAGACTTGAATTAAAAAATTGTACAAGACACATCCTGAAACAGCTTAATTTTATATAAACCTGAATATAGAAACCAATTTAAGATATAGCAAGACACATCTTACAAATACCCATGACAATATGTAAAATATACAAGTCAAAATTGTAAAAAGAACTGCAGAATTCTTAAGAAACATTTTTAATAAATGTAATAAATAAAACATAATAATACATTTAATGAGTGAGATGATTATATATATATATATATATATATATATATATATATATATAAAATTTGACTTGTATATCTTTATATATCTTGTGCAATTTTTTATTGATATTTTTATTATATTATGTTAATAAAAAATGTATTAAGATGCTTCTTCAGAATTTAGCATATTGACATTTTATATATATATATATATATATATATATATATATATATATATATATATATATATATATATATATATATATATATAATTGCAAATAAAAGAAACAAATTACCCAAGTATCAGGGAACATCTTAATACACTTAAAATGTTGTTTAAAAAATAAATTATTGATGTAGACATTTGACACATTAGCTTTCTCTTCTTCCCTCCTTCCTCCAGCCCTGTCAGGAGCACGTTGTAGCCACCTTGTAATGCATTTTTCCACTTCTTTATCAGTGGCGTGGTATGGACATTTCTCCTCACTACATCTGCGATTAAAAGATAAACAAACAATTAGTAGTGAAAAAGTACAAATGAAAAAAAGAAAGATGCTTGCTCTCATACAAGTACAACTTAAATGGGACTATATATAGATGTTTTGTTCCTCAGATTAATGATTCAAAGAAATACACAGATGGAACAGTCCCTAATTGTACTGAAATGTATATTTAAAACCAACTTACTGACTAGACAGTCCTAAGGGAGAGTGCATGAAAGGCCACATTTTGGTTTGCCCTGCTCCAGTTAATTTGTTCAGCCAAAAAGTGAGCCAAAAGCTTTCCCGGGACACACCAAACTGCTCAGTGGAAAACACCAATGATTCCAAAGTAGGCTACCTACGAAGCAAAAAAACACACAAATAAATAAATAAATAAACATAAAACACTTAGAAATAAGCAAGAAACTTACCAGTTTCTTCATTTGTTCGGGCTGCTCCTTTAGTTGATTTTCAAGTTTTTCCAAATCAAATTGGACATAGGAAGGTCAAATGTGTTTACATCTGGAATTTCATCATGTCTGTTTTGGTTTTGTGAGAATCAGGCACAGTTGCTGCTTTATGACGTCACATGATTTTAAAACTTTTGTCAGTCATGCTAAAAAAGAAAAATAACAAATTAGTATAAATCAACCTGTAGCTTATTCTCATGCAACTTGTGTAAATACAACAGTGGGTTAGACACTGCTGATATTCTCTAGTTGATCTTTACTTTCTAGCTGCATTAAGCCATTACAAATTTAGTGATGTCTTGAATTCTTACAAAGACATGACGAGTTACAATAAGTTGTCTTGATCTCCGACTGCACTTGAACAAGGACTGTAAATGTTCATAGGTGTACTGAAATGTACAGCATTTGTGCATCTTGATAATGTTCTTAAGGATCCTGCCATAGTCATTGGTGGTGATGGTACTTGTGGTGCTGCATCAATTTCTGAAATCTTCATAACAGTTTTTTCTCCAGCCTCTTTGTTCCAAATAATTTTTCTTCATCACGTTCACTATAGTTGTGTCTTTAATGCCCCTTGATCAGATACATTTACAAAACAAAACATTATTTTAGTGTAGTGCAGGGCACTAGATCAATGACAATGGCAGTGTAATAGATCAATGACATAATGTTGACAGTATGTGTTTAAAATAATTGCAAACAAACCTGTTCTTTCTTTAGGTGTATGACAGGCAATCACCGTCCTCATCTGTCTGCAAGCCAAGCTGAGTCGAGCTTCCTCATGTGTGTCTATAATAAAACATCACATTGTTGTTAACCTCCCCCAAAAAAGTTAAAATCCTGAAATACTATCAAAGTTAATTAATGGCTATAATACATATAGTGTAAATAATCAGCTCACTGAAGGTTACACAGGATTTATTCAGAGATTCATGCAGAGTGACAGCCTTATGAATCTTAGACATAGATTTGTAAGATGGTCAAGCACATGCATTATTCTGTACCCATGAAGATAACCTACCATTGTGAAAAATGTTTGATGATGATAATAGCCAATAACAATAAATCATTTCAGCTGTTTGTGAAGCAATTAGTAATGTAAAGTCTGAAAAGCTCAATCTATGTTGAAAATGTATCAGCAGTTTACAGCTTATAATGGACTTTAATCACCCAACTATAACATGCCTATTCACATGTACATAAGAATGTGCTATTGGTCTCTGTGATATGCTACGAAATGACCTCACTAACCTTTGTTAAACAAGAACAATAAGACTTAACTGAAAAAATATTCATTTATACCCATTCATTTAAATCAGAAATTATAACTGTCAATAACCAAAAAATAAAACCCTTTAAAATCTGCTTTAAGGAATTCAGTTTTACATGCGCAAATTACAGCTTGAACATAAGATATAATTGATTCACATAGGCTAACACATATAAATTAAAGCACATACTAATATATTTCTCTTAATAATAGAATGATAATTTGAAGAGAACAGTAAACGATCACTGATGCACTGCATAAACAAGTTAAACAATAACCTAACAATAACCTAACAATGTGAAAATGTTTTAAGCATTAAATTCGCAAAGTATACAGTATACAAGCAGTAAAAACCTTACCTTTCTGACCGGAATCCACTGTTTTGAAACGCCAAACTTCTTTTTCTTCTTGTGATCTTCATAGCGTTTGGCAACCAGCTTTTGGAACATTACCGCCACCGTCTGGGTTGGAGTTTGGGTCAGGAGTTGACTCACGCATGCGTTTCTTATGAAACCAAACTTCTGCTTAAAAAACAGTCTGCATGGAAGCGTGCTATCTCGAAAATAAGCGCATTTTACACTGTTTACCCTAAATGATATATATAATCCATTTATAAATAATATTGTTTTGTTTGCATCTAAACATTGGGAACATCCACACTAAATGTTTTTATTATTTTATTGCTGTCGTACCATATATAATTTCTCAAATTATCATTAAACTTGGAGCTAACAAATTACTAGATAAAATAAGAATTTAATCGGTTGTCATCAGTTACACAAGCCGTATATGATGAACATTTAGGAGGACAAATTTAGATGAAGTGTCTTAAACAAAGAACTACATACAATCTTTGCACACTTACTATTAAGATTGCTCTTCCACGGCGTGCCTCTTTCCCCACTGAAGTACAATGCTTTCAATTTCTCCCGCCTGAGACGTTGACGTTACGTAAGCGCAACCATCGTAACGAGGGCGTGGTTTAGCTCAGGACAGAATGATGCTATATCGTCCTTTGAGAAACATATTTTTAAGTGCGTGGTTTATTTTTAAATATTGGAAATATCAAAGTATGCCTATCTTTTTGTAAAGGGTAATGAATAAACACGAGATGATAATGTGCGTGCAAGCTTGTTTCTGCAAATGTGCACCAAATAAAGTTAAATTGCAAATTAAAAGTTTCAAATAAAGTTACTATAAGTATTGTAGTGTTTTTTGTTGTTTTTAATAACAATGTGAAGAATAATAATAGTTATTATTGTATTAATAATAATAATAATAATAATAATATCATTTTCACTCAGCATTTACTTTTTAATACAAACTATGAAAGGTTCTATACTCATTCATTCATTCATTTTCTTGTTGGCTTAGTCCCTTTATTAATCTGGGGTCGCCACAGTGGAATGAACCGGCAACTTATCCAGCAGGTTTTTACGCAGCGGATGCCCTTCCAGCCCCAACCCATCTCTGGGAAAAGGTTCTATACTGCCATTGATTTTTTTTTTATATATATTTAACATGTTTGAAACCTTTTCAATCAACAAAAGATTATGCTACTTGTATATTCATTGCATTAAAAAAAGTTAGAGATTGACTTAACACAAAAAAACAAGTTGGCAGATGCTTTTTTGGATGAACTAGCAAAGTGTTGCTCACAAAACTCATCTTTTTAACTTAATGAATAAAATCTTTGTTTAAGTTGATTGAATGTGTTAAATGTAGTTGTACAGACTTTTTTACAGATTTTTGCTGAACCAACAAAAAAAATCAAGCAATTTCAACATTTGTCAAGTTGGATTTTTTACAGTGTAAGTAACCAGTAAATACTTTACATTGTAACAAACTATTAATTCTTGTGTAAGTACATATTAGTTAAGGCCACTTAATATAAAGTGGGACCAAACTTTATCTTGGATAGGAAAAGATGCTCATAACCTATGATGGAAACACTTTTACCAAACAAATTCCAGTATTCTCATTAAAAAATGTCATGGGATTTTGTTATAAGAGACCATATAATGATAAAAATTATGTGTGAATAGACGGACCAGCAGGCTGAGCACACTGTAAAACATCTGAAATGTTGTTTTGGTCATTCTAAAACGCCTTAACCATTTGGGTATTAGAGTTATTATATTATTAATGACCTCCAGAACTGCCAAGAGCATCTGTGCTCCACGTCTCACGCCTCCAAACGCCACCACGCGTTTCGTTGCTTATCAGCATTGTCTTCTGAGGTGCAAGTCATTTATTAAATAAGGAAAAGATTCATGCAGATTCTCCTACCTCTGTAAATTCAGTTTTTACTTTTGATAATTGGCGCCAGTTAATCAGGAAGTGACTATTTGCACGTCTTATATGTGATATTCCAGTTTTGCACATAAATTTCATTTGTATCTTCGGATGGAAACTTAGCTACCGGTTACAGGTTTACAACTTTCTACAAAATATCTTCTTTACATTTTTAGAACAAGTAAATGGGCGAGTAAATGATGACAGTTTTCAATTTTGTGTGAACTATCCTTTTATAACATGCCTTAACCAAAACTAAAAACATGGATTAGATTATGTTTATATGCATGTATGTATTTATATACATTTTCAATGTATTTGAAGGTAAATTTTGATTTTCTTTTTTACCTTCTTTTTCTGATTTTGATTTTGATTCTGCACCCTTCTGCATAATGCAAAAAAGCCCCCCAGACATGAAGGCATGTAGGTAGTGTTTTTATATCTATGTAGTAAATAATTTTTCAACATTTTAATCCTTTATTTTTTCATATGTAAGACATTTGTGTATTGCTGTATAGACGCATAACTAATGCGCACTGCACTGGACTTTGGAGCAGTTTTTACTTGGTCAATAATGCAGTCTGTTTTAGTTTCTCATAATAGCAACGCACCAACAATGCGCCTTAACACACCTCTATTTTAGACCAGCACACCCATGAGTCCACAAAGTGGCACAAATTAATTTACTATTTAAACAATGTGGTGAAAAAACATGAACATTACAGTTGCACTGGTCTAAAAATAGCAACAAATCGTGCCAACATGTCCAAATAAAATAATAGAAAATTATAATGGTATAATTTATGATAACATAACTAGAACATGCCTTGACAATACAGTAATGTTTGGGGGATTTATGAACTATTAACAGTTTCTCTGTAAAGAACAGTATGCCATTCTTCTACTATGACATTGCAATGATTGACAATGAAATCAGGGTATGATTTACCCTTGCTTGGTTATATCGTTCTCTCAGTACCCGTCTGTTTTTCCTCTCAGATTGACCATCTCTTGAGGACAAAAGGGGCAGGTGACATTTCCACCCGTGCTGGCAGCTGCTGCCGGGCACACACTGACTGACAGCAGCTGTAATGGGCATTTCAAGGTGGCATTTTCCTTTCTGTCTTACCGGCTTAAGAGCGGATAAAAGAAAAGAGAAGAAATAAGAAGAAAAGCAAGTTTATAAATGACGTGGCATCATGATGCAGACTGTTTGGCTTGCAGCCCATACATGCCATCAGCGGCAGTAATCTCTTCTTAACAGTAAGGTAAATAAATGCACAATCACTTTTTTTTTATCTGAGTTTTACCATAGGGGTTGTGACCTTTCATGCAGTTTTGAAGCACTGACGTTCAACTAAATACTGTAAATACAGTGAAAAGTGTGTTGGAGATCCAAGAAAGTTATGTTTTTTGCTGAATGTTGCATTCATGTTCTTAGTTGTTGTTACATCCTGCATGTTTACAGACCAACAATTAAAAACTAGTGCAAATGGAAAGTCTGAACGGCCCTAAAACCTAGTGTACTAAAGTACTAGTGGCGATGAAGACCAGTTGCGTTGTCGACACACTCTTGCATTCACACACTCACACACTAAGGCCGATTTCATTAATTCATTCTCCTTTGGCTTAAGTACTTTATTAATCAGGGGTCACCACAGCAGAATGAACCGCCAACTTATCCAGCATATGTTTTACACAGCGGATGCTATTCCGGCTGTAACTCAATACAGGGAAACACCCATACACTCACATTCACACTCATGCGCTTTAGTTGAATTGAATAAGCTAAATTGGCTGTAGTGTGTGTCTTTGGACTGTGGGGGAAACCGGAGCACCCGGAGGAAACCCATGCCAACATGAGGAGAACATGCAAACTCCACACAGAAATGCCAACTGACCCAGCCGGGGCTCGAACCAGCGACCTTGCTGTGAGGTCATAGTACTAACCACTGAGCCACCGTGTCGCTCCTGATTTACTGTACATTTTAAGGTGAAAATTTTGTAATGTGTACATGGAACATCGTCTGGGTTATAGCACCTAACTGCAATTTTAGTTTCCCTAAATTGGATAATAAATATGAGTCTGATATTAAATTTAATATAGTACTTGGAAAATGTAGCATGCGTAATGTAGATGTACTTTCCTTCAGTAGAACATAAATAAATTATATATATATATATATATATATATATATATATATATATATATATGTGTATATATATATATGTATATATATATATATATATATATATATATATATATGTGTGTATATATATATATATATGTGTATATATATATATATATATATATATATATATATATATATATATATATATATATATATATATATATGTGTATGTATATATATATGTATATATATATATATATGTATTATTTTTTATTTTTTTGCTAAAACTGTGGTTCTTTGTGGTTGTACTGTTTACTGGTACTATGTATCTCAATACTATGGCTCCAAAATACTGGCGGTGCCACTGTAGTTTGTAAACGGTAGTATCATCATTATTGTTTTATCTACAATAGATAATGTTGAATGTGGAAAAGTCACTAAAATGCTCACATGTTTGTGCAACAATAAACCATTTTATTTTAATCGTCTGTGGAGCCCTTTATGGTTGCAAGTGGCTGATGTGTTCTGACGTTTCAAACGCACATCTGAATTGGTTCATTTCTGTTCCTCTCAATATGATTTAGTAGCAATGACAATCTTTCAAAAAGAAAGACTCACAAAGTGAAATTTGAAATTACATAACCTGATAAGACTGAAAAACTAAGATAGATAAACCCAAAATAGCAACAGGAAACACTGAAACAATTTTTGACCGCATCATATAGTCTAATTTTGTTGCAAAATGCTATTTTTATGACACATTTCATTTGGTAAAATTTGTATCTTTATTTTAATGTATTTTTTTGTAGGTCGGTTATCTACAAAAGAAACACAGACTAAATACTAAAAATTTTAGGTGAAGTGATGTGGAAATAATAGTTTTTTCAATAATAAGCGAATTATTAATTAAATTCAAGACCTATAATAACATGTAAGATATAGTATTTCTTACAATTTTCCTTATAATCTGAGTTATGAATAACAGTCCTTGGTATCATGATACTTCAGCTGGTATAGAATCATAAGATTATTTAATGGTATTGTGAAAACCCTAATTTGTGATTCTTATAATAAAACTCTGAAAAAGAGTGTGAGCAAGTAAAGTTGAAGTCAGAATTATTATACCCCCTGAATTATTAACCCCCTGTTTATTTTTCCACCATTTTATGCTGAAAGGAGAGCAGATTTTTCCAACACATTTCTAAACATAATAGTTTTAACAACTTATTTCTAATAACTGATTTATTTTATTTTTACCATGATGACAGTAAATAATATTTTACTAGATATTTTTAAAGACGCCTCTATACAGCTTTAAGTAACATTTAATGCTTAACTAGGTTAATTAAGTTAACTAGGCAGGTTAGGGTAATTAGGCAAGTTATTGTATAACAGTTGTTTGTTCTGTAGACTATCGAAACAAAATATTGCTTAAATGGGGAAATATTTTTTACATTAAAATGGTTTTTAAAAAATTAAAAACTGCTTTTATTCTAGCCTAAATAAAACAAAAGACTTTCTCCAGAAAAAAAATAATATCAGACATACTGTGAAAATGTCCTTGCTCTGTTAAACATCATTTGGGAAATAATTTTTAAAAATAATAATAATAATTCAAAGGGGGGCTAATAATTCTAATTGCAACTAAGTAAGCAAGCAAGCAAGTAGAAAAGAAGTGGAAAATTGCTACATGTGATACTTCACTATATACTGGAAATGGAAA